TGCCATCTTTGTTTCTCAAACTCAATGCTAGGTATTTCAGATATTCAATAAATACTCCTTTTATTCAAAATTTAATTCAATCTACTTGGAAATTCTATGCTAAGAAAATATACAGAGATTTTCTAAATTTTGAAAGATAAAATATAATAAAATTGACAAGAAATCATATTTATTTTGGTATTTTAATTTTTTAATTTTATTATTTTTAAATTTATTTTATTATTATTATTGATAATTATTATTTTTATTATTTATTTTGATTATTATTTTATTTCGGTACTTACAGTCTCTAGAATGCTTGCATATTAATGACCCTCCAAAAGATAAATGATATAACATGATAATATAATTATAATTCCAAACATAAGGCCATGAAAAGCACAATTTGCACTTTATTCTATAAATAGTACTATTCTTATTTTCTTTAAACTCTGATACAAGTAAATGTTAAACTTCATAGAAGAAAAATGGATTTACTGATATTTTGGAAATGGTATAGCCAAATATGACCTCTTCTGTTTACTAGTATAAAAAAACCTATAAAAAATATAACATTCTCCACACGCAAGTACCCTCCAAAACCATACGTGTGGTCCACAATACTTAAATAGGAAATATGTATTAAACACTTAAAAATATAATCATTATATTACCATTTCATTTGAGTATGTTACTTATTTCACATACTATAAATTCTATGAGCATTCTTTACAAATAAAAATGGCTATGATTACCATGGTTATTAAAAACTACATAAACAATACAACCTTCAGTTATTGTATATGCTTTTAATTTTTTTTTAAGTAAGCTCTACACCCAATGTGGGGCTTGAAATCATGACCTTGAGATCAAGAGTTGCATGCTCCATGGACTGAGCCAGCCAGGTGCCCCTGTTTTGCTTTTTTTTTTTTTTAAGATTTTATTTATTTATTTGACACAGAGAGAGAGAGACAGCTAGAGAGCGAACACAAGCAGAGAGAGTAGGAGAGGGAGAAGCAGGCTTCCCACCAAGCAGGGAGTCTGATGCGGGGCTGCATTCCAGGACTCTGGGATGATGACCTGAGCCAAAGGCAGACACTTAACGACTAAGCCACCCAGGCGCCCCCCTGTTTTGCTTTTAAATAAATGTAATTAACAATTGCTCCAGAAGTAATTTCAATGGACAAAACTAATCTGTAAGTTTTACATACATTAGACATTAGACAAATACACAATCATTTAAAAATTTAATCATTTTTCACAAATTCCTGCAAATATATTTCTGTCTTCAGAGCAGAGTGCCCCCCCCACTTGTGCTCTCTCTCTTTCAAATAAATAAATAAAATCTTAAACATTATATATATATATAGAATTTATTTTCACCTTTGAAACAATTACTGGGCAGTTTGAAAATGAAAGGCATTAAAATAAGATGATAAATAAGAGAAGAAGGAAAAGCAGTTATGCCAATGGTAAAGACAGAGACAGTGGTGATAAGTAGAAAACCTGTCAAAGATTCCTGGCTGCCAGAGGAAAAAAAAGATTTGGGTACTTTAGGATAAAGCTCTCTCATGGAGTATTTATATGGAAGACACTGACTTCTAACAGCACTATGTTTTAAGTCAGTAGGAGTATTCTAAATTATAAGAACATGATAAGAAGATAAAATGATAATAAACTATAATGTATATATTCCAGACTTGGGAATAAAGCCATGAGCCTGACTTTTAGCTCTCTGTTGTCATCAATAAACTCTCATAAAGACCTTAATAATAGGGGCGCCTGGGTGGCTCAGTCGTTAAGCGTCTGCCTTTGGCTCAGGTCATGATCCCAGGGTTCTGGGATCCAGCCCCGCATCGGGCTCCCTGCTCTGCGGGAAGCCTGCTTCTCCCTCTTCTACTCCCCCTGCTTGTGTTCCCTCTCTCGCTGTGTCTCTCTCTGTCAAATAAATAAATAAAATCTTAAAAAAAAGACAATAATAATAAAGACATGCTTGCCTGAGATTAAGGGGCTTCTATGAGATACAAAGTCTGAAGAGGTTCATTAAAATTGAATACTACCTTCCCACATCTCTGATCTTGCTATATAAAACCTCACATACACGCACACACATACACAATCTAGCAAGACGTAAAATAAGCACTTTCTTTAGGCTGTACTATGCTAAAGTGAAGTGCACACGAAGATATTTATCACCTCTGAAGTATGATTTTTTTTTAAAGATTTTATTTATTTGACAGAGAGAGACACAGCAAGAGAGGGAACACAAGCAGGGGGAGTGGGAGAGGGAGAAGCAGGCTTCCCGTGGAGCAGGGAGCCCAATGCGGGGCTGGATCCCAGGACCCTGGGATCATGACCTGAGCCGAAGGCAGACGCTTAACGACTGAGCCACCCAGGCGCCCCTGATTTTTGTTTTAAATAAATCTATTCAGTGGCACGTATACTCGAATATTTAAACATACTTAAATATTAAAAAGTTTTTCATTGTCCCAAATAGTTTACAAAATATTTAGACAAACTCCCATTCTATTTCTCCAATAATTTTTGCATTGCCCACTTTATACAGTGTTTGCTTTTTATATGAGCACATACATATTTATTAGGTATGTAAACCTTTCTCCATTTCAATACTCTCCAAGCAGAAATCTGAAACCTAAACTATCATTCAAAGAGATATATAGCTAAATGGATCTTCTTTCTACCTGGTGATTTCGAAACTAACCCCATCAGGTAGCTAACCATGTGGACAATAAGTCTCTCCCAAAAGGGACAAACTCACCATCTGTTCCATTTAAAATGGTCTAACAGTTATTTTAAATTGAAAACACCTGTCCTGATTTAAGTTTCCACTTGCCTCTTAAAATTTCACTGAGGAATGGAGTCTTAAAGGATTTCTTCACTCCTTTATTCATTCCACAGATAGCTGCAAAGAGCGTTCAGTGTTCTGGGCAATCCTTTCAGGTTGCAAAGGATGAGACATGGACCCTTAAGTTCACCCCCACTACACACCCTGTTATTGTGTAACTGAAAACTGAAAATATCATGGGGCCCAAGCCCCACCTAACAGAATTTACTGGGGCTAAGAAAGGGAAGGGCTAATTCTACCCATGTAGTCAGGAGGTCTTTCAGAAGAGAAAATACCTAAGTACACGCATTAAAAATGGTTGGATGGAATGAAGGGAGGGAGATTTCCAGAGAGAAATTTACCAAAATCTTGGAAACTTGGGTAATTTTTCAACAGTTGAGCATAACCAGAGGAAAGGATTGGGAGGAGATGGTTTATAGCAACTGTGATTACTGTTTTGCTAATGAACTATGTATGTAACTAGCAGACTCTAGGGAGTGTAGGTTAGTACCATATGAAAAGAACATCAGGTCTAGCCTATTAGTGATTCGGAAAGTTGTCAACCATGATTATACCTAAGGAAGGCTAAGTAATGCCTGGAATGCCTCCAGGATACTTCAGTCCTGTGCCCTTCCATCTTAATACTCAATTCCACCATTGCAGCAGCTAGGAAAGAGAGCATAGAGTCAAGCACTGGCCCTTCAGTGATTCCACCAGGAAATGAAACGTTTCATGTCTGTTCACATTTACTTCCTAAAACAAATTACATCGCTCTACCTAATTTCAGTGGGGCGGAGAGTGTAATCCTACCTACGCCTAAAACTAGGAGGACAGGAAAAATTGGTGATCACTGAAACGTTATGAAAATGTTTGATGTTTCAGGTTAGACTAATGGAGTCAATATTTATTAGCATGTCATAAATTAAGATCGAAACTAATTAAAGTTTAATTTTGATTTCTGTGATCGAAAGTCAATAGACTAGTTTCACTGTTACTCAATGCTTGCATTACTGTCTGTGCAAGCAACTGTAAAAGTTAGTCATTTAGAGGCATGATTAATTCATGAAATTGTTTAACCTTAGAGACTAAAAGCCAGACATATTTAATTTAATTGATTAATATTTAAATCAGGTAAAATATTAAAATGCAACTTTTTCTGATTCGGTTTCATTATCTAAATAAGCTACTTTCCCCCCCTTTTCCTATGTAAAGATACATTGAAAGGAATTATGCACAGAAAGGAATACATAGTAATGAGTGCCCGTAACAGACAAATGGCATATTGCTAGGTATTTAGTATGTTAGTTTCAGCAATCTTTTTGATTGCTACAATGCTTAGATACTAAGGAGCATTTAGTCAAGACTTAGTTTTACATATCAGTTTAATTTTTACCATCTGTCAAACATTATCCTATCACTGGGGTGAAGTGGCCAACACAGATTTGTTACGTGATGCTAATATCACAAGAGGCCTCCTTTACCATGCTTTCACCTAGTCTCTGCAATAGTTCATTGAAATATTTTTATTCTTAAACTGTAGTCTAAGGTTAATTTCTTAATTTCACGTTATTTTTCTGAAAGCAAGCCTTTGGGCCCATCAAAAATGGCTTGCACCTTACAATTGGCATTTATAATATACAAGATATGCAAATATACCTATTTCTCAGGTGTAAAGAACCATCTACAGAGCAGGCGCATGGGAACTAAAATGTACAAACAAGCACGCAGCTGCATCTGTGATTCTTTTATTCCTGTAAAATTTCCAAGAGGTGAATAAAATCGATCATTTGTTCTTAGTTAATAGATTATCATCAGACATTATTTTCCAGTCCTCACGTCACAGCTGTTATATGCTTAAAAAGAAAGAAAGAAATACGCCTCTGAAGACAGGGCAAGCTTAAACCTGCCACCGATTAGAAAAATCAGTGTCACAGGTGCGCTTTTAAACGAATAGCAACCTTAGAGGTCAAGTTGGGGGGGGGGGGAGAAACAAACCGCCCTGGATGTGGAAGGTCGTACCACAGGGAGAGCGAGCTGCAGGCCCCGTTGGGCGAGTTTCTCTCCGCACTTCCGCGGCAGCCCAGGTCCTCCCCTCCGGTCCTCGCAGGGCAGGTACCCTCCCTTCCTCCCCACCTGTTCGGCTCCCGCGCGCCGGGCTTCCTGAAGCGACGCCCTAGCGATGGGAATGGGAACGCTCTGCACGGGAGTTTCCTTTCCGTTGCGCTCCCCCAGCCGAACCCCAAAGACCCGAAGTCGGGTGGGAGGGAAATTCCTACCCGGTTCTCGCCCACCCCCGCCCGTTTTTGTCTCCGGCTCACTGCCTCTCTCGCTCCGATGCCACCGAGCCTCGTCACCACTTCTGGGTGGCCGACCGGCGGAGGTGGCGGCGAGCTCCGGAGCTCCGGGCAGAGAAATGGGGCAGTGTGAGTGAGCCGGCTAGGGGAAGGCCCCGCGGCGCCCGGTGAGGGCCAGCCACCCCGCCCGCAAGGCAGGGGGAGGCGCTGCCTCGGCCCGGCCCGCGCGGGGCTGAGGCTGGGAGAGGCTGCCGCGCTCTACGCCTTCAAGCCCCGGCTTGAGAGACCAACTACGAGCGCGCGGTCCGGGGAGGGAAGAGGGGGAGAGGAAGCCGCGGGAAAGGACAGGCGAGCCAGTCTCCTTCTGAAAAGAAAGTAGGAGCCCTGGGTGGGAAAAGAGGAATTAGCCCTCCCAACTTTTCTTCGCGAAAAGTTTCCCCAGGGCGTTTTGTTTGTGCAAACTCGGCCAGGGGAGCCCGGAGACGCGCTGCCGGAGTGGCGGCGGTGCCTGTGAGCCTCGCTTCTCGCCCTTCTCCTCCTCCTTCCAGCCTGGGCAGCTCCTCTCCCGCCCCAAGAGGCGCCAAATGGCTACCCAGTAAGCCCCACGGGGCGGGGGCTGCAGCGCCGCCTTCCGCCGCCGCAGCAGCGGGCGGCCACTAGGACCTGAGGCGGGGGGGCCCCGCGGGCTGGGAGCCTCGGCCCGCAGGTGGGAGCGCACCCGGAGGCCGACCGGCCCGGGGCTGGGGGGCTCGGGCGGGCTCTTGACGCGCGGCCCGCCCCGCGCAGGCCTCCGGTAGCGCGCGTCCCGCCCTGACCAGCCGGCCTCTCCCACTTTAGTAGTGACACGCCGCCTCGGAACTGGAGTCCGCGCCGCGCCCCGCAGGGCGATGGACAGCCGAACCCCGCGCTCGCAGGACGCCCTGGCGGCGCCCACGCCTCCCGCCGCCCCAACCGGGTAAGCCTAGAGCGCCGCGCCGAAGTTCTCCCGGGAGGGCGAGGGCAGCAAGGCCGCCGCAGCGCGTTTACCTGACTGGCAACTCGCTGCCCTGCCAGCTGCCTGACTCACTGGCGGCGGGATAGGCAGCCGAGGAGGCTGCTTCCTCCCGGCCTCCTTGGAGGGCGCGCGGGGGCGAAGGGATATGGTAGTTTTGCTTGCTTTTCTGCTGGGGCTGCTCTGAGTTGCCGAAGGGCAGCTGAATGCTAGGAATTGGGTGAGAAGTCCTGGAGCAAAAATTGTAACAAAGAGCCCCTTGTTTGGTGCTCTGGAAGAGCGGCGGACGATACCTGTATGTGAGCTCTTGGGAAGGGGGAAGAAAGTTTCTTTGGCTGAGGGCTGAGGCCCGGGCAGGTGAGCAGTGTCAAAGTGACTGTAAGGAAGGGGCTTTCTGCGAGCGGTGGAGGGCCGCGGGAGGGCGTACCAGCTGTCAGCCCGCATGACAGTTCCGGGCCCCGGCAGGGTGAGCGCCTCTGATTGGGGGTGTGCGTGCCTGTGGCCAATTGCTGGTGCCAGAGCGTAGCGCAAAGTCAGACTGCAAACAGCCATACTTTCTTTGAGTCCTCACGTGTTTGAAGAGAGACTGGAGGGGAAGGGGCTGTCACATGGTGAGTTAATATTCAATGAAGCATGTCTTCCTGCCAGATATGCTAATAATCACCTTGCTAAGCGTTTGGGTAAACAGTAATGAGAACAGGTAGTTCTGCAAGAGATGGGGAGAACCTGAAAATAACCTTCGTCTTGGTAAACAGTGAAGGCTGTTTGGGCGCTCTTTGAGCTTCTGAAGTGGGAACCGCTTTGATGTAGTGTAACTTTTCCTACATATGTTCCCCCAACTCAGTTTCTTTTGTGATAGTTAATCTGAAGGCTCTAATGCCCTAAAGAGAACACAAATATTCCAGAAAAGAAACGTTAAGGAAAAATCGACTTTGTAACTAATGAATGAGAGTTGTGCAGTTTCCCTGACGGAAGAGTAGAGAAGTCATTTTTCCCTGGAACATGACAGGCGTTTCCTTAGAAGCAAGTCACAGCATGTTTATTCATCAGAGACCATGCGAACATTGGCAGTTGTCTAGAGGAAACATGGAAAAGTCTCAAAGCAACATGACTAATATAAAAGATATTTAGCATAATGCTTACGTAGAGGAAACATGTAGTGTATGAATTCTTTCATTTGTTCGAATTGTCTTCTCCCCTCTGCAAATAGCCCTGTTGCTGTTGACTTCCGTTCCTATTTTCCCAGTGTTTTCATTGTTCAGTATTATATATTCTTCCATTTATTCTCGCATCAGGATGTGTGAGTAAAGAAATGTATTGGTAGAAAGATCTTAATCATCAAAGCATGGGCCTCTAAATGGAACAGCCGAGATACGTAAATGGAAGATGAAACTTTCAGGAATACAGAAATGTATTTGAGTGCCACAAAATAAGATAGTATTAAACCGGTGGATTTGAAAATGTATTAAGTTAAGGGACAATTAAAAAACGACAGCATATGCATATACACGAAATATACTTACTAAGTGTTCAGAAATCAATACTTTTGAGTAAAATAGGTGAGATCAGATGGCTTTGGGATGAAGGAGTGGAAAGAGCTATCTAATGATAAGCACGACTTCAGATTTCACTTTTGAGAATTTAAAGCTTAAGCGGATACATTCTTGAAAATGTACAAAACTACTTTATCTAATTCTTCAACTATGAAGAAAATACTTTTAAGGAATTTGACCCTCTCTCCAAATTTAAGGTGGGACATCTGCAAAAATGCTTCAACATCCTATCTAGAGTAACACCCTGGCTGTATCATTTTACCTTACATTCTATTTAGAGAAGTGATCAATATCTGCAAAGTATAAACATAAAAAAAATGTCATCTTTCACTTTTCTGTCTTGTCCCTTGGCATATCCCAAGTGCCTGTTATATTTGTTGAATATTCAGTACAGTATTGTTTTTGTTCTTTTTCTCAATCCCAAAACGTTAAACATGATTGGATTGTGGGGAAAGAAGTATCCTAGATATGGGTTTATGGTGGCAGGGAGGTGGCAGGGAGCAATCTCAAAGTGTTACAATAAATTATTGGGTTTGGGAAGTAAATTCCTTACTATAAAACTAATTAAACCAGGACTCATCACCCTAATAACCTATGAGGCCTAGTTTAGTCCTCCTTGGATATCCCTGCTGTAAGGAATCCCTCTGTAATTTTCCAAGTTTTACATTGTTGTAACAGGTCATTTTAAAGAAATTTAGTGCAACTCTACATTTTACAAATGAGAATCTGAAGCCTGGAGACACTGAGTGACTTTGTTGAAGTCCCAGAACAAATGAGTGGCAAAACCTGAAGGAAAACCCAGGACTTTGGTTGCCTAGTTCATTGCATTTTTTTTTTTTTAATCTTTAACTGACCACTGTAAGATACATATAAATTTCAAAGAGTCAGTTTGGGTACATTATCTTTAGAACTCCTACTGCTTGTGTTTTTTACTTGCCCTGAACAGATAGGCCCCCTTTGTTTTTTAATTTATTGAAATTTAAATGTCAAAACTAAATGTAGTTAACCTTGCTTTGAGGGACCTTAATGTTTTGATCCTGAAACAAATTTTCAGGAATGGACCGGGGTAAAAAACCTACTTTATAATTTTGCAGCTTTGGAGCTATGGAGTTCATTGCAGGCACAGAAAAAATTAAATGATTTAGCAGCTACTTTTTTAAGCTATTATTTGGATGCACTGCTGGCTCTAAAATTTTACTGATTGTATAAACTGAATTCTTGTTAGCTAACATTGATTACTTAGAAGTTGACTATCTTAGCTGAGGTTGCAACATGTGAATTACCTAGGGATCTTTAAAACTAACACCCATGGTCTCACACCTGCTACCCATTCTGATTTTATTTGGCCTATGCTGGGACAAGCTGTGGAGAGGTTTTAAATGCTGCTTCAGTGATTGTAGTGTGCTATCAGATCTGAGAACCATTGATTAAGTGTCAACATCTGAGATGGAGGTGAAGCCATAAATGGAATAGGGGTTGCTATTAATAATTTTTAGGCAACTCAGGATCCTCACTTCCAGCTTTAGTTTGCTTCTTTAAAGATTCCATTTAGGTGCTTTATAGTAATATTTTAAAAAAATTGCTACTCCTTTCTGAGGAAGTATATTAACACCACTTTGCACTTGTGGAAACCGAGGCTCTGAGAGCTAAACTAACAAACTCAGAGCCACACAACTTTAAGTGATGAAAGAGTAACAAAAACAAGATCTGATCCCCATTCCTGTGCTCTTCCTCGGTAGGCATGTTGGCACCCAATGTTTGCCACTATGGATTACTCTGAATGGCCAAAGTATTTTTATTTAGAGTGGCTTTATAAATGTCTTGCCCTCTTTTAAAAATCATGTTTATATGTTTAAAAACTCCTACAGGGCGCCTGGGTGGCTCAGTTGGTTAAGCGACTGCCTTCAGCTCAGGTCATGATCCTGGAGTCCCGGGATCGAGTCCCGCATCGGGCTCCCTGCTCGGCAGGGAGTCTGCTTCTCCCTCTGACCCTCCTCCCTCTCATGCTCTCTGTCTCTCATTCTCTCTGTCTCAAATAAATAAATAAAAAATCTTAAAAAAAAAAAAACCTCCTACAAATTCTAATGCATATGAAAAACCCCAATGCCTAGGATTTAAAAGGAACTTAAATGTTTGGTTTATGTTTTCAAAATATTGAACATTTTCATGTGTTCGGGATGATATAACACATAGTTAACTGACAGCCTTCTTTTGTCATATGACAAACTACTTATTTTTGCTATTAGGTGGCTGTTAAATTTATAGTATACTTTCAAATTAGGAATTTTTGATTACCAAATAAAAAAAATGAAATTAAGGTAATATTATAACTTTTTGTCCAAAGTCTAATTTCCTCTAAATGTGTTAGAGGATATTGAATAATTTTATGACCTTATTGCAGTATTGAAATGCCAGGTGTATTTATATAATACACGCTTCATGTTATTGAGACAACTGCTTTCATTTAATTAGTCAAAACTTGTGAGCCCTTACGTTATATAAACACGTTTTCTAATCACTAGGAGATTGGCTGCTGATGTTAAGAGCTTTACCAAAGAAACTCTCTTAAGTCTGCAGGAAAAGAACATGATGTTAGTATAGAAATGGTACTTTCATGTTAGCTTTAAAACATTATGTTTATGCTTCAAGCTTAATATATAATAGCTTAACTCTCTGATCAGCAAACTATGGCCAAGCAAAGTAAGTCCAGAAGGCTGAAATTCACCTATTTGGTTTTAATTGTAACTTGTTGTTGTTGGTAAAATGCATATAACAAGATTTATCTTAAACATTTTTAAGTGTACAGTTCAGTGGTACATTCATATTGTTGTACAGCCATTGCCACCGTCCGTTTCCAGAACTCTTTTTTCATCATGTAGAACTGAAACTTCATACCCATTAAACATAGCTCCCCCTTTCCTCTCCCCCCATCCCCTGGCAGCCATCATTCTACTTTCTGTCTCTGTGATTTTGACCACTCTAGGTAGCTTGTATAAGTGGAATCAAACAGTCTCTATTTTTTTTTTTTTTGTGATTGGCTTATTTCACTTAGCATAGTGTTCTCAAAGTTCATATTGTAGCATATATCATAATTTCTTTTTTAGGGCTGAATAATATTCTACATTGTGCTTATCTGTGGATGGACACTGGGTTGCTTCCTTATTTTAGCTATTGTGAATAATGCTGCTAGGAACATGGGTATACAGATATCTTTTTAAGACCCTTTCAGTTCTTTTGAAGTAGAATTGCTGGATCAAATGGTAATTCTATTTCTAATTTTTTGAGGGCAACCATACTCTTTTCATACAACCATACAACTCTTGGTTGTACTATTTTAACATTCCAACAACAGCGCACAAGGGTTGCCAACCCTTGTTGGTTCCTGTTGGTTATTTTTTATTTTTTTAAAGATTTTATTTATTTATTTGACAGAGAGAGACACAGCGAGAGAGGGAACACAAGCAGGGGGAGTGGGAGAGGGAGAAGCAGACTCCCCGCCGAGCAGGGAGCCCGATGCCGGGCTCGATCCCAGGACCCTGGGATCATGACCAGAGCCAAAGGCAGACGCTTAACGACTGAGCCACTCAGGCGCCCCATGTTTGTTATTTT